TCTACAAACACTTTATTTTCATCTTTTCATTCTCTCACATTTTTTTCTTTTCCCTTTTTGTTCTTCCCCTACGTATCACACCTTCCCTACACCTTTAGCTCCTTTCCTCCCATTTCTAAATGTCAGTAATCTTATTAGAATCTTATGCATTGTTGCAGAATATTCACACCAGGGAAACTATTTGGTATTTACACATGTGGGACTTATTTATTTCACTTAGGAGTATATCTTCAATATGTATCCATTTTCCTATGAATGAATCTATTCTCTCGCTCTTTATGGCTGAGTAATATTCCATTTTATAGAAAAACCACAACTTCTTTATCCAGTTTCCAACGGATGGGCAAATAGGTTGTTTCCAAGATTTAGCTATTACAAACTGTGCCGCTATAAACATGGGTGCACATACTTCTCTGTGATATGATTCTTTTAGTTCTCTTGGAAAGATACCCAACAGAGGGATGGCTGGGTCAAATGGAACCTCCAGTCCAAGCTCTTTGAGGTATCTCCATATTGATTTCCATAGTGGTTGCACTAGTCTGCACTCCCACCAACAATGGAGGAGGGTTCCTTTCTCCCCACAACCCCGCCAACATTTGTTATTGTGTGATTTCTTGATAGCAGCCATTCTTTGTGGGGTGAGGTGGAATCTCAGTGTTGTTTTCATCTGCATCTCTCGAATGACCAGTGATGTGGAACATTTTTTCATATATTTTCTTGCTGCTTTCACTTCTTTGTATGAGAAATGTCTGTTCATTTCGGATGCCCATTTTTGGATCGGGTCTTTATATTTGGGGGGACTGATTGTTTTGAGTTCTTTATATATCCTTGATAATAGTCCTTTGTCTGAGGTACAGCTGGTAAAAATTTTTTCCCACATTGTAGATTGTCTCTTAGTTCTGCTAATGGTTTCTTTTGAAGTACAGAAGCTTTTTAGTAAGATGAGATCCCAGTTGTTGATTCTTTCTGCTAGTTCCCGTGCTACTGAGGATTTGTTCATAAAGTCTTTTCCTATACCAATGTCTTCCAGAGTTCTGCCTAACTTACTTTCCAGCAAGTTTAATGTTTCTGTTTTAATATTTAGATCTTTAATCCATTTGGATTTTAATTTAGTGCATGGCGAAAGATAAGGGTCTAATTTTAATCTGTGACAGGTTGATATCCAGTTTTTCCAACACCATTTATTAAAGAGGCTATCTTTCCTCCACTGAGGATGGTGAGCTCCTTTGTCGAAGATGAGGTAGCTGAGTACATCTGCATTTGTTTTTGTGTCTTCCAGTCTGTTCCATTGATCCTCAGGCCTATTTCTTTGCCAGTACCATGCTGATTTTATCACAGTGGCTTTGTAGTATAGTTTCAAATTGGGAATTGTTACACCTGGTGCCATGTGACTGTTGCCTATAATGGCTTTTGCTATTCTAGGTCTCTTGTGGTTCCAAATGAATTTTTGGATTCTTTTTTCTAGTTCTGTGAAATATAGTGTTGGAATTTCAATTGGCATTGCATTGAATGTATATAGCAGTTTCGGTAGTATGGCCATTTTCACTATGTTGATTCTTCCTACCCAGGAGCAGGGGATATCTTTCCATTTTTTTATATCCTCTTCGATTTCTTTTTTCAGAGTGCTGTAGTTTTCAGTGTAGAGATCTTTTGTTTCTTTTGTTAGATTGATTCCTAGATACTTCATTTTTTTGGATGCTATTGTAAAAGGAATTTTTTCCCTTATTTCTCTTTCTGTCTGTCTGTTATTTGTGTATAGAAAGGCTATTGATTTTTGGGTATTCACCTTGTATCCAGATACTTTACTGAATCTGTCAATTAAGTCTAGAAGTTTTTTGGTGGAGTTTTTTGGATCTTCAATGTAGAGTATCATATCATCAGCAAATAATGATAGTTTAACTTCTTCCTTTCCTATCTTTATTGCTTTAATTTCTTTCTCTTGTCTAATTGCTGTGGCTAATGTTTCCAGAACTATATTGAAGAGAAGTGGCGATAGTGGGCATCCTTGTCTTGTTCCTGATTTTAACATGAAGGTTTTCAGTTTTTGGCCATTCAATATGATGTTGGCTGATGGTTTTTCATAAATAGCCTTTATTAAATTGAGGTATAGACCATCTATTCCAATTTTTTGCAGGGTTTTTATCATGAATGGGTGTTGAATTTTATCAAATGCTTTTTCTGCATCTATTGAGAGGATCATATGGTTTTTGTCCTTGACTTTGTTAATATAATGTATTACATTCACTGACTTTCGTATGTTGAACCACCCTTGCATCTCTGGAATAAATCCGACTTGGTCATGATGGATGATCTTCTTAATAATCCTCTGTATTCTGTTTGCTAGTATCTTATTAAGGATTTTTGCATCTATATTCATTAAGGAGATTGGTCTGTAGTTCTCCTTTTTGGTTGTATCTTTCTCTGGTTTGGGAATCAGAGTGATACTTGCTTCCAGGAATGAATTTGGAAGTATAGCTTCTCTTTCAATTTCATTGAAAAGTTTGAAGAGTAATGGTAGTAGTTCTTCTCTAAATGTCTTGTAAAATTCAGCAGTGAATCCATCAGGGCCTGGGCTTTTCTTTGTTGGTAAGTTTTTAATTACATTTTCAATTTCACTGATTGTGATTGGGGTGTTTAAAATGTTTTTATCTTCTTCGTTCAACTTTGGTAATTCATAAGTATCTAGAAATCTGTCCATTTCTTCTGTGTTTTCCATTTTATTAGAGTACAGGTTCTCAAAGTAGGTGTTCATGATCCTCTGGATTTCTTTCGGATCTGTTGTGACTTCGCCTTTTTCATTCCTAATTGCATGGATCTGAGCCTTTTCTTTCCTTTTTTTGATAAGATTAGCTAAGGGTTTGTCAATTTTATTTATTCTTTCAAAAAACCAGCTCTTTGTTTCATTTATTTTTTGTATCGTTTTCTTAATTTCAATTGCATTGATTTCTGCTCGGATCTTTATAATTTCCTCTCTAAGAGTTACTAATCTCATTCATGAGGGCTCAGGACTCCTGACCTAATTACCTCCTTAAGGCCCAACCTGAAAATACCATCACAGTAAAGGTTACGATTTCAACATATAAACTGAGTTCAGGAACACAAATATTTAGTCCACTGTACTCCCTCCTCTCATGTGAATTTTAAAGATCATGCATTATCAGTATGCTAAAGTAGTACTAATTTAAAGTTGCCTAAAAACTGGATTTCAACCTGCCAAACATTAAAACTAGACCCTTATATTTCACCATGCACTAAATTAAAATCAAAATGGATTAAAGATCTAAATATTAAAAAAGAAACACTAAACTTGCTGGAAGATAAGTTAGGCAGAACTGTTGAAACATTGGCATAGGAAAAGACTTTATGAACAAACCCTCAGTAGCATGGAAACTAGCAGAAAGAATCAACAACTGGGATTTCATCTTATTAAAAAGCTTCTGCACTGCAAAAGAACCCATCAACAGAACAAAAAGACAACCTACAATGTGGGAAAGTATTTTACAAGCTGCTCCTTAAAAGGCTCTTATCTATAATATATAAAGAACTCAAAGCAATCAGCCCCCCAATATAAAGACCCGATTCAAAAATGGGCATCTGAAATGAACAGACATTTCACAGACAAAGAAGTAAAAGCAGCAAGTAAATATATGAAAAAATGCTCCACATTACTGGTCATTAGAGAGATGCAGATGAAAACAACACTGAGATTCCACCTCACCCCATAAAGAATGGCTGCTATCAAGAAATCAACCAATAACAAATGTTGGTGGGGTTGTGAGGAGAAAGGAACCCTTCTCCATTGTTGGTAGGAGTGAGGACTGGTGCAACCACTATGGAAATCAATATGGAGATACCTCAAAGAGCTGGGACTGGAGGTACCATTTGACCCAGCCATCCCTCTGCTGGGTGTCTTTCCAAAAGAATTAAAAGAATCATATCACAGTGATATATGCACCCTATGTTTATAGCGGCACAGTTTGTAATAGCTAAAACTTGGAAACAGCCCATTTGCCCATCAGTTGGAAACTGGATAAAGATGTGGTTTTTCTATGAAATGGATTACTACTCAGCCATAAAGAATGAGAAATTAGATTCATTTGTAGGAAAAATGGATACATATTGAGGATTTAATCCTAAGTGAAATAAATAAGTCACACGTGTAAATAGCGAATAGTTTCTCTGGTGTGAAAAACTATTTTACTACTATTAATGATATAATTGACAATGATATAATTGACAATGTGAAATAGGAAGAAAAGGTGGAGGGAAAGTGGGAAGGGTAGGGGAAAGGTAATAAGGGAAAAGAAAAAATGTGAGAAAATGAAAAAATGGAAATAAAATGTTTGTAAATGGGGAGGGGAGGAGGGAGTAAGGGAGGACAGGGACAAGGAAAAAAATGAGAAGCAAGACCTATCGTGTAAAGGTACAAGATCCCAATAATGAATGTAACTGTACTGTATCCCTAAAATGTACCAATAAATGCAATAAAAACAAATAAATAAATAAAGTTGCCTAAATGTAGTAAAATTCTGTTCCCAAATGAAGAATTCTGGGTAGCATATAAATAAATAAATAAATAAATAAATAAATAAATAAATAAATAAATAAATGGCTAGTTTAAAATCCATTTCTTTAAAACAACAAAAAATATGATTCAGAAAGGGAATTGCAGATTTTTAAAAGACAATAAGAAGGGTTGGAGATATGGCTTAGTGGCACCTGCCTGGCAAGCACAAAGTCCAGAGTTCAGTCCCAATAGCAAAAACAAAAACAAAAAACAAAAGACTCACTGCTATAGGAAATGTGGTAAGAAACAAAATGATTTCACATGATGGGAAAATTAACACAATGGATAAATTAGGAGTTACTTTAAGTTAGGTTTAAGATGTCCTGTCTAGTGGACCATTAAAAGTAGTACCAGGACAAAATAAAAATGTTGGTCACAAAACTCAAGATGTTTCAAAGTGCTGGTTTTTAAGTGGTATTGTCATTTCTTCCAGATCACTCCAGGAAGCAAGGCGGCAGCTGCCAACCTCTGTCCTGGCGATGTCATCCTGGCTATTGATGGCTTTGGTACAGAGTCCATGACACACGCTGATGCACAGGACAGGATTAAGGCTGCAGCACACCAGTTGTGTCTCAAAATTAACAGGTGCTCCTTAATCAATGGGGGTAAAATTTGATCTGTTTTGCAAGAGAACCTGAACCAGGACTATAAATGGTTTCATCCTCCTCGTGTGAACAAGTGTGACAGGGCCTAGAATTCTTACTGGCTTTTATATAGCAACCACTTTTTCTTCACTACAGTCAGTCAGTCTAGTAATTGTGGGCAAATCATTTTGAGAAAGAATTCCCTGTAGTGTCAAAATAGGGAAAGAGGCCTGATGAATTTTTTCTTCTTCTACTAACGAGTTGACTGACTATGAGGATAGTCATTAGCTACATAAACAACAGAGCAATATGACTAGTCATTCTGCTGTTCTCAATGTGATAGAGAATAGAATGAAATGTGTACCTAAAGGAACCTCTTAACTTGCCCAAATGTGATCATCTTAAAATTAGTTGCTAGTTTCCTATAGGCCATTGTCTGTTTTATACAGAATTCGGCCTGTAGTATCACAAGATATGAGAATGCATATGTGTGAGGTACATTAGCTACTGAGACATTTCTGATCAAAAAGAAGGAAATTCAACCCAATTTCTTGTCATGAGAATCCTAATCTGAAAACAAACCATGAAAATAATACAGTGATTGCGCGAACGTTTATCCTGTTGCTACTCTATTGACAACCATCTCTGTTGGTACCGAAGGCTCAATTGGTTGGACAATCCACTGATGTCTGGGATGAAAAGGAGTCTTTTCCTTTGTATGTGTAATCTGTGCTTCTGCCCGGCACACAGTCTCTTAGGAGCCACAAGGTCCCAGACAGATACATGAGAAGCATTAAGCCAAGCACAGTTCCCTCATGCTACAGCCGATAACCAACTGGCCAATCCCTCCGTGCCTGTGGTGGCCTGAGTAGGATGAGAGGGAAGAAGGGGAAGCCTGGGGAGTTTGCTCCTTGGAATCTGCAGGGTGAACTTCCACAGTCTCCCTCTTCTGTGCTATTTCTCACATGAAGGGAGGCCTCCTTTTTCCAGAAACTGCCCACGGTATTCCAGGCATTCTCTCTTGACGCATACCAGATTCCCTGAAAGGACATTAAACGAGTAAGAATAACTGGATGTGGAAATGCAGAATAACACGCAAAAAACAATTCCTTCTGCTTAAATTAGTAAGACTTCCAAGTATTTCCACAAACACACTGGGAAATGAAAGTACACTGAAAGTAGCAGTACCTATTGAATTTAGTTTACAAACTTTGTTTTATTTCCAGGGCAGAAACTCGCTTATGGTCTCCACAGGTGTCTGAAGATGGGAAAGCTCATCCTTTCAAAATCAACTTAGAATCAGAGCCACAGGTATGAATTCTCGAGTAAACGATATCCACACTGTGCTTTGCCTTTATGGGGATGCTTCCAAGAGCAGGAAGAGGCAAATATAAAAACTGGAGCAAATAACCTGATAAAATAGTGGTTTTCCTTTACTCTGAGATTAATTTATATAATCCATGTTTTCTTAAATTGGGAGAAAAGAGAAGTATGCCTGGGGGAGCAGCTTGTGAAAAGACTAGTATGTTCTCATCAAGAAGGATTTAGGTAAAGCTGCATACAGTCCACTGATGGACTTCTGCCAGATGGCTATGAGGTAATTTGAAAACTTGAAGTTGTTGAAACAAAGCAAAACCAAAACAAGCTCGACCATTTGAAACAAGTGTCTTTAGTCTAATTGTTACTGTAAACCTCAATCCTTCAAGGTCTTCACCCAGATCTTATTCTATACCCTTTAATTCTCAATTCTGGCTTTCTGTAATCAAATTTACCTTATAAAAAGATTTTTATTATGTTATCATGACAATATTCTGCCTGTGCAGCTAAATTATGGCAGATAAAGGATTTTCCCTGAAGGGAGTTAATTAATCTAATAATCTGATGCTCATCTGACCAAATCTATATTCAAAAAGTCTAAAAGAGTCAAATCAAACCGCCCTGTAATATACTGAAAAATCTAATTAAAAACAGAATTTTAGAGACTCTATTTAGATTTACAGATGAGTTTAATATCCCTTTTGAAATAAGTTTTCCTACTAAGGGGATCAGAAATTTCCAATGTATAGTTTTCTACATCTTTAAAAAGATGAACTGAAAACATTTACAACTCATGCTCTGGTGCCATTCCTCCTTTCAGGATCAACTCCTGAACTTGTCCTTCTCATCTTCTATTTATCTCCATAAGCCTCTGTTTTTTTATGGGTGCATAGATGGAGATTAACATAAGGACAAGTATTTCACAGAGATTCTCAAAGATTTAAGTTAAATTAATACAAGCAAAAATCTTGGTGCATTAAGTTGCTCATATACTGATAGACAGATCTCATTATTAATAAGTTACCCCTCTACTAAAAGCTCTGATCTTGGCCTCTCTCAACAGTGAAGTAAGAAGCTGCATGTATGATAAGGCTTCTATCCTCATTCCTGTGTATTATAATGAGGGCTTCCTCACTCATTACTATTATATTACAATGGGGCTTCTTTCCTTGTCACTCTTACATGGGTCACTACAAATTACATTGGATCAAAGCTGTAGTTTCAGTTAAAATGCAATCACTCTCAGAAAAAGACTCTCAACAGTGAAGTAAGAAGCTGCATGTATGATAAGGCTTCTATCCTCATTCCTGTGTATTATAATGAGGGCTTCCTCACTCATTACTATTATATTACAATGGGGCTTCTTTCCTTGTCACTCTTACATGGGTCACTACAAATTACATTGGATCAAAGCTGTAGTTTCAGTTAAAATGCAATCACTCTCAGAAAAAGATCATGTTGGATCATCTTTAGAGGAAATGAGTCTGTAAGATTCTTGTCCTAGACTTTTGACTGGAGGGAAGGTACAGCCTGAATCTAAAAAGCATATGGAGCAAGAGGAGGCTAAAACAGCTCCCAAAGGGAGGGAGCAAGACAAAGAATACACATGAAGTCAGGAACCATGTGTCTGTTCTTTCTGCTCTGCCTCTCCCACACATAACTCATAGCAGACATTCAATGAAAGGACCTGGAGGCTCAAAAGATAAAGAGTAAATTTGCTAACATTGACCAGAACTAGTCTGGGAATCAGTTCTCAAAACTGTTCTGCTATGACCTCCAGTTGCTACACTACGAAAGTGATCCTGAAGTTGAGTGGGATATTTAGGTCAGGTAGTGATCTAAAGGACAGGGTGGGTAATAAAGGTTGATTATCCCTTACCAGAAATGATTAGGACCAGAAGTATTTTGGTTCTCAGATTTGTTTTCATTTTTTATATTTGCATATATGTTAATGAGGTATTTTGCAGATGGGATTGAATTTGAAAAGTGAAATTCATTTTTAGATATATCTTATATACACGTGGCCTGATAGTAATGCCACACACTGTTTCAATGTGCCTGTATTTAACTGCAACTCATCACTTGAGGTCAGGTGTGGAATTCTCCACATTTTGCATTGTGTCATTGCTCCAAAAGTTCCCATTTTGAGACATGTCAAATTTCAGATTTTGGGATTAAGAAAATTTAATCTGTTAAATATAGAGCTAAGGGTTCTGAAATCTTATAGTGACTCACTCTGGTATGGCAGGTGGCTAGTGAATAGTAACACCTCTGATCAACATTTAGAAGACTGAAAGAAAAGTTCTCAAGGCAAGGCTATCACTTGTATATATCCCTTTGCACTTGTATATCACTTGTGTATCACCTATTTTCTCCTACCTTCACTCATCAATTCATCACTTAGAGGCAACGCAAGAGAAAAAGAGACTCTCTGGTGCTCTTGAAAAAGAAAAAGGAAATGTAAGGATCTTACACATGTATTTATTGACTGACTACATTCTTGCTTTCTCCACAACAAAGGGTATGAAATTTTACATTTCCTAATCTGTATACAACACACATGTAAAACTGTACAGCATCCTTTTGCAAATTATTTTTCCATTAAAAATGTCACCTAGTTTTGGAAAAGGAGAAAGATTTATACAATCAGAAGAGAAACCAGAGTATTGTCACCTAAATTTCAAATCAAATTTCATTAGTATGAGACGTAAGATATGGGGCCAAATAGACAGATTTGATCAAAGTACCAAACCCCAATGACCCTTCATCATGGCCACCTCTCCCACACTTTTGCACAAGTAACTTAGCACGAATTTATTAAACATATGATGAGCTTAGACAATTATAAGAGCCTGTGCTTTGCTAACATCTCTCAATAACTGAGGTTAAATGTAATTCCTAAATTCAACCCCTAGAAGTAGGCCTCTTTTACAAATCAATGGGCATTGATTTATGGCCATGATTATTTTAAGAATTGGATTCCAAGGCACAGTCCTAATTTTTAAAATCTCTAGCTTTTTGTCAATCATATATTAGCCCACATGTCCTATATTTGGAGGTGAAAATATGAATATTTATGATACTATAGAAAGGTAAAGATCACTTTAAGGCCCACAGAAGTTAGAAGGAGCCTTTAAAAATCCCATTCTTTTGAGTCATGACTAATCCATACTGCTAACCTCTCCTTGAGGCCATGCTTAAAGGGCTCCAAGAACAATATCGATTCTTCTCCTAAAAGATGGAATGATCTCTACTCCTTATGAGACTCTTAGGCCAGATTTTTATATAAACACTTTTCAAAATTTAGTATTTCAGGGCAAACATTCTTTATACAAAATAGCTACATTTCAATGGATCCCTTGCTATCTGAAATTCTTATTCCATGAACTACAACATAATGTGGTAACAAAGATCAAACAGTGAACTTAACTTACAGACTGGGACTGGGAAAAAAAAACTAGTTATGGGTACCTTTTAAATAACACAAAGCCATAATATATAAATACATATAGATAGAGAGAGAGAGAGATCATTTTAAATCTTAATGAGAACTCTGTAAATAGAGAAACTTTCTAGACAGCTAAGATGCCTCAGTGTGAAAAGCAAATGCCATTAGTAAATACATCAATCTTTAAAATGTCATTGTAGATAATTAGTGAAATGCATAAGTGTTGTAATTACTTGAGTTTTTGTGTCTCAACTCAAGTCAAACTTCTTGTAAGTATTGTGATCTTTGCTTTTGGAATAAAATACTCTTTTTCACTTAAAATTAATTTAAACTAATTTAAAACTAAAAACTTAAAACTATTTAAAACTAATATGTATTCACTGAAAAAGAAAATACTACATTTTACCATCTAAAGCTGGCCATAAGTAAAATTTTAATCTATGTATTTCTGATTTTTCCCCTATGCATAGACTTAAGCTTGGAAATTTTTTCTTACACAGTTACAGTAATAATTGATATAAAGTTTTAATGTATTTTTTATTTTACCATACTATCACTAAGCATTTAAATTTTGATTTTATGAATTTAGGCTTGAATCTTAGGCTTAAAAGGGACCTTATTTAGATCAACTCCAAGCAATGCAATAAATTCCTTCTGAACAATCCTAAACAGGTTTTGAGTGAGTGTACACATTTCTCTATATAAAAGTATTGCTCTAGACAAGGTATGTTGTTAGCCCTTCTTCAAAGCTTATACTGTACAACAAACCATTACCCTCATTTTTGTTTAAGATTAGTTGAACAACTCAAAATATAATGTACCTACTGCCATAGAAAAGATGCTTTTCAGAAACAATTCATCTCCTAACAAGAAGCTGTCGTCATTTTCACATAAACAACTGTATCCTTGCCATAGGTTTGATGATGTATTCACAAACACAGTTACAGTTTATTTTCATGAAATTAATCTGTAATGTTTTGATAACTGAAAAGCACCCTGCACAAAATAAACTTTTATAATCACCATTTCCCCCAAACTCTTCCCCAATGAGATATAGGAAATAGTTAAATAAATCACTGGAGGAAAAAAATGACTTTAAGCGTTACTTTATTTTTCATTTAAGGGATGAATATGAGGAAAATTTGATTGTTCATAAATTTCAAACATGATAAAAAATAATCATTTCTTCATTATGGCTTGATCCGCTGTATGCTCACTTCATGTAGTTCTTCTTCACTTCCCTTCCATTTTACATCAAAAAACATAGCAGAGAAATAAGAAAAAGAAACTGTGAATCAAACATACTTTTTCTGATTGAGATGGTAAGAACTTGAGTCTGTATCTCAACTTGAGTCTTGAGCCTTTTTCCGAGTAAGAAATTGAAGGTGACCTGTGAGTACTGTCATTGCTGCAAACATTTCAAGGACTTGGGAGATCAATGTCAAGAGCTGTGTTCACTCAGGGTCAGTGGGATTCTGTCAAATTATGGAGCTTTTACTCTGGCCGTTCTACCATTTCATTAACTCAAAATATTGTGCCTTAATATAAGCTCCTAACATTGCAAAATGTTTTTAAATTGTTGTTTTGAATGATCACTTTTGAATTCCTAAGCGATAATACAAAACCATATTTTCTGAGTAGAATAAACACAAGAGCTGGACTATATTAACTCCTATATAAATTTTTTACTGGTATTTTCTGTTGCTCATGATTTTTTAAGAAAGGGAAAAAGAATTACATAGAACAGTAAACATCTGACTGGTTTTGTCTTTTGATTCTGCTTGCCCATCAACAGTGATGTAATGCTTGGATAGAATGTCGCCTCTTGGTACCATGCTTAAATTTCTTGTTTATATTTGGTGTATACACTTCATTGTGCTTCAGGGAATGACTCCAGAATCCAATAAACTAATGCTTTGCAAAGCTTAAGTAAAATAACTGAATGCTGTACTAGAAAGTCTTCATTTTATGATCTAAACAGAAAATAGAGGCATTTTCTTTTAATAAATTATGCAGCTTTGACCTTTGTGATATATGTAACCAAAACGGAAAGTGGCAAAAAGAAAAAAGAAAGCTTGGAATTGATTAACTTATGTGTTGCTATTTAGAAGTACTGCTAGAGACTATTAATGCACAAACATTTTCAGAGAAATTACCTCTTTTACAGGACAATCGCTGTCCATTGTTAAGCATCATTTAAGGCTAAGAAAAAAATAAGGGCAGCAATTTCTTCCAATAAAGCCGTTATATTATGTTAACTCACTATTTCAGGACAAGGGATTTAGCTCAGTGGCATCATGCCTGCTTCACTACCACAAGGTCAAGTTCAATCCCTGGTACCAGAAAAGAAAAACTAATTATTTTAAATTTTTACCAAGATTTTGAGGAACCTTATACCGTGTTTTCTTTCTTTAAAAAAAAAAAAAAAAAAAGAGCTGAGTTCCACAAAACTTGAATAGTTTAAACCTGTCTGATTCACTTTTTAATTAGCCTGGAAGATATATATAATCCACTAAAACTACATTAGGCAATTAGCCTCTGTACTCTTTCTAATCAAAAATAATTACAAGGGCTTGAATCGTGACCACTGATATTACTTAATATTCTTTCCATGTCCCTCTTTTCATGCCATAAGAATCATGGCTCATCATAACAGTTAATTATAAAACACAGCTAATTCAAGTTATTAGATCAATTAAAACATTCAGATCGTACCACTATATGAATGCTTGGCTACATGTACTTGTTCTAGAATTCAAAGCTAGGACATTTCTGAAGCTCCATTGGGTTGTGTTGTCATCATGCAGCAACAGTAGCCAACCAGCCAACTCCTTAGCTGTCAGCTGTTATTATAGATGGAAAAAAAATCAAAGGAACAAGGTATAAGTCAATTAAATCACACTGTAGAGTCATGGGCTAGACTGTACTCAACTCAAACCTTCTCCTCAGCTTCACAAGGCCATTACACACTGTTCCGTGTTGATGGGATAAAAGCTAATCTTTAGCACATCATGGATGCTCAGTTACTAAGAGATTTGGGGTAGCTGGAAAAAGACTCAGTAGGTTGGTATTTGAAGCTACACTCATATACCCTGTCATAACTACTTTAAAGAAAAGTAGACTTTGCCATTGGCCAGAATCAGGAAAGAAGGAATATGTGCAGAATCCCTACTCAGTAGAACCAAGGCAGAGCATTTTCCAGCTTGGATGATTACAGAAAGTTGTTTATGTTCTCAGACGCAAGAAATTCTAAGAAAAAAAGATTCTACCTCTGAGAAAAGAAGAGTTATTTTCTTTATTATTTATTCTTCCTCCTCCTCCTCCTCTTTCTCCTCTATTTCCTTCTTCCTTTTCCCCCTTTACCTCCTCCTCCTACTTCTTTCTCTTCTTCACAATTTCTTCTCTAACAGAAATGCACCATCCCACAACCCACGCATCTGTAATGATCGGGGGAAAATAGGAGGTCAACACAAATATGGCAGGATTATAATTTTTAGAGAAAATCATCTCTTCCCAGTAACATCTCAAATAATTATACATATTTCTGCTGTCTCGAGTCCATTTGCAACGCTGATGGCACATTTACAAAAATAAATGAAATTGATGCAAATGTGGGAGTAAGTATGCTCATATCAAGATAAATCATGCTGCTTTCTCCACTTAGGTTCAGGAACGGAAGGAGCTCATGAACTGCAGCATTGCCTATTGGTTTTGTGTGTCTATGTGTTGCTCAGAAGACAAAAAAATCTTTAATGGTTATACAAAATTATACATGTATTCAAAACTGAAAAACATTACTTCTGACGCTGATGTGTCGTCCTGTTCCTAAAGTAAAAATCCTTTTTGAGTCACACATATTGCTGGTTTCTGACTTACTAACTTATTCCTCTTGGAAATGAATAAATATGAAAAGTTCTTTAAACACACAATATTAAATCATTAAAATAAAAAGGAAAGTGTTTTTATATATGTTATTCCTACTTTCATAAAGTCTTTTAAATCTTATTCAAAAATTGACATGATAGCCTAATTTGAACTTTTTTGTACTTTTTTTCTCTCTTCATTTTTACTTTTGGTTTTTGAGACAGGATCTTGATATATAGCCCAGGCTAGACTAGAACACAATCCTCCTGTCTCAGCCTCCTGAGTGCTGGGATTACTTGTAGCTACTTCTTGAAAACAGAAATTTTACCAAGATTGGTTAAAATAATTCAATATACTTATTTACAAATACTCATTCTCCTTCTGTTTTAAGAAATAGAAAGTTTGTTAAGTTCTCACTGATAGAAAACATGCAAGTTATACTTGAGAAGATCTTAAATATAATGATTTTTTTCTAAGCAAAAAAATCTCACTTCTGACACAGATTTTCAATATTCAAGTGAGTCGTTACAATTTCTTAAAAGCAGGAGATGAAGTCAGTAGGGGGCAGACAAGAGATACAATGTATGAACCATACTGCAATATTTTAAATAAGCTCAATTCCTTTGCATCCTAACATTTAGTAGATGAACATAGCTCGTGAATATCTCAGAGAATGGTAACAATGATTATCCCTAACTCCTCCCTTAATCTTGCTATTAATCTGGTGTTGGGTAAAGATGCCTTTATTAACAGTAGCATTGCTGTTAGTTTGGTTCTGTAACGGCGTGTATACTCTGTGGCTGTGTGTATTTTGTCTGCCATTGTACAGGAATTCAAACCCATTGGTACCGCACACAACAGAAGGGCCCAGCCTTTTGTTGCAGCAGCAAACATTGATGACAAAAGACAGGTAGTGAGCGCTTCCTATAACTCACCAATTGGGCTCTATTCAACTAGCAATATCCAAGATGCACTCCACGGACAGCTGCGGGGTCTCATTCCTAGCTCACCTCAAAAGTAAGTATCAGACTCTTGGTTCTGGCCACTGTGTTCTTGACGGTGATAGTATGGTTTATTTTCCTTTCAGAAGTCCAGCTCTTGTTTTCTTTGTATTTTCTTGAAGGCACTATTAGATTTTTACTTTTAAAGACAAACATCTAGAATTTGGTTCTAGTTGTTCTGGAGCCTGATCAGCCAGTTCTTGAACATTTATTTAAAAAGAAGAAATCACTCTGGTTCCATAATCACCCTTCTTAGTTGTGTCTGTAGTCCGTGCTAAATAATTCCCTGTACAATTATCATTCATTTAACTTTATTATAAAATATTAATCTTCCACTAAGGGACTTCTTTAACCCTTTGTTTTCACAGGATGTGAACTACTTTGAACACAAGCACAATGTTCGGCCCAAACCTTTCATAATCCCAGGCCGAAGCAGGTCATAAACCCTGAGATTGTGAAGTTTGACATGCATGCTCCTTTAATCAATTCTTACTAATCAAGCAAAGTAACTTTTAGATGTTTGGAGTGATTTTTTTCACTGTGAGGCTTATTTCAAAAGCAAAAAGAAACAAAAGCAAAACAGAAAGCAAAAAAACAAAACAATAGCCAAATCACCTACATTTGTGAGAGTAAATACAGACAGGATTACTGAGCTGTGAAATTTTATGCAGTCACCATGTATATTTATAACTAGCACCCCTGCTGCTCTGGGGGTTCTATCCAGAACACAGTGACCTTTGAATCAGGCAGACATACTCAATCCCAGATCAGGAAAGCCCTTCCAACAGGGACAGAAATGGAAACCAGACTCCATCAGGCACAAGGAAGCCTGCTGGGCACACATGGGAAAGCAGTGTTGTTTTGTATGTTTGACAGACTTGTCACCCCACTACACTCCCTGATCTCATCGAACTATCAAACCCCATTAATTCTAGCACTTACATAAAACTAAGTTTTTATTCTTATGGATCCTTGCAAAGAAAAAGGCTCCTTGAAAAGAAGCTTTTTCTCTTGAGTGAAAGAAAATAAGTATAAAATAAGTGTTAGGAGGAGGCAGGTTACTGGTTACCCAATGCACAAAGCTATAAAATGGTAATATTAATGAACCAAGCCTGAATTCTTGTCTATCTATCAGATGAAATTATTATTGCTAGAAATCAAACTTCAAAGACATTACAATAACACCCTGCACTGCTACGTTGGGAATAGCAGCTTCAGGAAACCTCAAACCCATTGCTCTGACCTCAGCTGAGTTACCCTGGAAGAAGGAAGCTGGTGCTTAGGCTAGATTGATCTTACCAGGTTAGGATCAGCGGATAATAAATTATATCCAGGTTCCAAACTGGTAGCCGATGGGTAGCCTAATTTCACAAACATGTTTCCCTTGACTCTATTGTTTAATCTTTTAAATGTACACGTCTTTAGATGAATTGGGGCTTGTCAAAGTGGCCATCATCCTGAAGTGTGTGCTGCCGCCCACTTTCACATATGTGTGTCTCCCCCAGCCCCCGGACACCTAAACTTATGACTGCAGCCATGGTGGCCATTCATCACTTGATAAATGATGGCCATGTGCAGACTTCTCAGTAAGCTAGAGGTAGACCTGGAAGACTGTCTCAAATTGAGCCAATTTTTGTGATCTCAGATCCAGAAGGAGCACTGGAACGGAAGACCAGGATAAAACTGCTATGAAGGGAATGATAACAAATACATCTCCCCAACCCATCGCATCCTAGAATGTAAGCTCGGCATCTTGACATTCCACATTCCCAACACCTAGAAATGAGGCTAGGACAGAAGAATAAATACTTAATCAATGTGCACTCGGACTAAATCCTAAAAATATGAAGTAATAGTTCCTCAGTGTGTGGTGAGAAGAACTGTTATTATCCCTCCCTGCCCCGTGCAAACTCTGCACCTTTTCTCTTTATTATCTTGCTCCATTATGTTTCTCTCTCCATCTTTTCCATTTTTCTAGTTTGAGATGCTTCTCTGCACTACCCCACCTTCAGTAACACAACAATTCATACTAAATGTTAAAATGCTATTTTACTCCTGAACAAAAACCTTCCCAGAAAAACATCATAAAATGAAAATACCCACATTGTTTTGAGTTTGCATCACTGTAAATCCATTATCTTCCACCTATAAGACTTCAGGATGCTTGAATAAAGTCATACATTAGAGAAATATTATATCCTTCCTTTATAAAAGACACATTTAATTTTATAAAAGTTCAGAGAGAGACCTAGATCTATAATTCTTCCTTTTATATTTTCATTTTTAATTTAAAATCGTGCTAAGGACAAGTCACTCACAAGTTTGTCATTTAAAAGTACTTTTTTTAAAAAAAGCTGAATTTATAAGAGAGAAAGAAGGGAAACAGAAATGAGAGGACTTTCCAGTGTGCTAATCTTAAAGAATTATAAAATGCTTCTCCAGTTCTTCCTATCTTTCTGTTGTCATACTGTTTGTTCTAGTTTTGGAAATTTTTACTCCCTCAAGATGATTCTTCAACAAGTAGAATTCTGAGAGGCTATTTGCCAAACTACGACAGCACTATTAGTGAACAACTTGTTTAATCAGAAGTAAATTGAGTCGGGGACTTAGCTCAGTGGTTCTGCCGCTTGCCTCACAAGCATAAGGTCTCGAGTTTGATCCCTGGTAACAAAACAAAAGTAAATTGAAATACCAAATTTGTACTGTCTTAATCTCCCTGAGGTTTTACTACTAGCACTGGTTCTCTTAATTACTTCAACATAGCCGAAGCATTCCTTTTATGTGTAAATTTGTAAAGCTAAAGCTATAACTAATAATCTATACAAGCCATTAAAGATCCAAATATTAAAATAAAATCACTATGCAACTTTTTGGACAAAGTACATCTAGAAGCATAGCCCCAAAAGTCGGTACACACCTCCAGAGAAATCTGTTCTCTGTTGAATGATTTTGGGCATGAAGTAATTGAGTGCATGATCAAGCTGAATCAGCTTCAGGAACTCTCATTAGTACCTCCAGGTCATAAGGAATAGGTCATGGTAACCTATGATGATAACCACTCTGACTGGAGTCCATGAAAACTATTTATTTAAAATAAATCAAGAGATCATTTTCAGTTGTTCCAGAAATTTATAAAAAGGTCATTCTTCTTGGCTTAAGAGTTTATTTTTCATCCCCTAAATAGACGTGAGTCCTTAAACAGAATGATAAAGGAACTAGGAAATCGAATACACAGTTCTTGCATAACCAAAATTATATGCACAGACATGCTGATAGACAAGAATACTAACAGGAAAAGATTACTAAGTACAATTACAAAATAAAGCATTTCTGTAAGTTCCAGACTGACACTAGTATCCAGCACTCTGCCTGGTCGTGAGTTCAGAGTGATTCTAAGTGTTGGTTGAATTTGTTCACTATATTGAGCCCAAAGTTTCCTAAGATTTAATTCAGTATTTTAAATCCCTAAACTACAATTTTATGGGCTTCATTATAGTTAGGTCAAATCAACATTCTCCTCATTAAGCTGCACTACAGCTGAAAATCAATTTCTATGCTTTTACTAGATGAAGTTCATTTCAGGATCCAAGTTAGTGTTAAGCCTCCAAAAATGATGACTGAGGTCATGTGACAGTTTGTCACGTGATTTAACCAGTGTGAAGAGATTGCGTTTCAAACAGGTTCTCAACCAGTAAGTGAAAAAGCAATTCCATTATTCAGGCTGTGTAAATAGTTGAAATGGATAACACAAAGTTGTTGTTTTTTTTTATGTTTTAAATCCATTTAATAAACAAAGGCTGTGCAAACTAATCAGGCTGCAACACTGGTAAATTTTTTTTTAATTTTTAAAAACCACTGCCCATTATCCTTCTCTGTTTTGCTGTCTACACGGAACTGAGACTAACATTAGTAAGTAGCCTTAGAGGGTAAATGAAGTGTTGGGATCAGGGTTGAGAGAATATTGACTTTGAAGTAAACACATCATATAAATCTACTCTCTGTCTTAAGTTTACAACAACACTCACTAGCATGATAGAGATTTATTGTAACATTAATATTTCTTTTTGCTTTTTTTTAAATGACTATGCTTTTTTAAAAAATCTCTTAGTATATTCCATTTTCTTACAAAATGCATCTCTCATTCTACACTTAAAGTGCATGTAGCAGCCTGAGATATAGCTCAGTAACAGAGCAAGTGCTTAGCATGCATGAGTTCAATCCTCAGGTTCAAGCTTCAGCACAAGTAAATAAATATAAGTAAATACGTGCAGTTGTGTCTAGCCTCCTATCCCGTTTCATAATGAATATGAAATCTCTCTAGTTCTTAAATCTGCATGACTGGCCTTATTTATATTTTAATAAGTCCCTATAACTCGTTTCTTAAAGAAAATAAGAAATATGCATGGAAAAATATATGTGCTTCCAGAATTTTACATGAAATACCTATGTAGAAAGGAAATACAGGTTAGTCTGATGAGAGCATCTAAATAGTCTGTGATTACCTTATTCATCTTCTAATCATTAATTGCAAGGTGACAAGCATTTATTGGCTTTTTCTAGATCTTGGAGTAAGCTACAAAACAGCTTTTTTAAATAAAATAATAAAAACAGGAAATACTGAAGCAATAGCAATAAAATATTTACAATATAGCCTTAAAATATAGTCTTTGCTTTATCACATTCAAGTTGCCATTCAGTGAAAGCTCAACTGTATTCTTGAAACGTACGCTTATTTTGAAATGTTCCCCTAAACCTTTGATTGAATCTTCACGCTACACATTCACTTGGCATTTGCAAAGGATCATTCGTTAATATTTTACTTTTAAATATTGTACTTCAAAAACTGTAAATCAGTGTCCAGCCAGTGTAATTTTACTGGCGGCCTATTTTTAAAAAGTGAGAATAGCTGTATTTCATCTACTTACTTTATGTACATTTCTTTCTATATGTCACCCTCACCTTACAAATCACCCAGTGGAATAGAGCCAACAAATGCAATAGCACTTGCATCTTTTAATTTTATTAAAATTTCTTCAGTCATTAATTTTTAAATATCATCTTTTTTAAAACAAAGTCTAGGCAGTGTTTTAGTTTGGTACAATTTACTTCTGACTTTTTGTCTTCCATTCTTTTTAACCTCTCTGTACTTGTTCTCTGTGTCCTTCTGGTTCCTTGTGTCATCTGTGTGTAATGTGGTCATTAACACAGTGGATGCAGCACGCCCTCCGGTATTGATGGTGGCAGTGGACGTAGCACCCCTTCTTCTGTCAGTACTGTTAGTACCATTTGCCCAGGTGACTTGAAAGTTGCTGCTAAGATGGCCCCTAACATTCCTTTGGAAATGGAACTTCCGGGTGTGAAGATTGTACATGCTCAGTTTAATACACCTATGCAGTTGTACTCAGATGACAATATTATGGAAACACTTCAGGGTCAGGTTTCAACAGCTCTAGGGGAAACACCTTCAATGAGGTAATACGAGTCTTTTTGAACCATGGGCATATTAACTAAACACATGGGCAATGTCAACTTTCATGGTGTCTCATTAACATTGTCTTACTGGAAAGAAAGTTATGTGAAAAGCTTTAAAGAAAAAGTACTGAGGATTTATTGCAAATATCTAGGTGATAAAGCTGATTTGAGAAGATCAAGATTATCTGAAATAATGTGGTAGATAGCAGTAAAATGAAATAATACAAGGATGAAATGTGTAGGTTGTTTGAAAGTTATATTGTATTTTACAAATGTCTGATTTAGTACTTCCCAAAAGTGATTTATAATCGAGTATATCCAATGTCTGTCTTTGGGGGTCAGAAATTAGGAAGGAGGTTGGGAAGGTCAGAGGATTTTTTGTAAGACGATACCTCTTCTCTTCTAAAGGAAATGTGTGGAGAGGTGATGATTTTTCCATTTAAAATGTTTTCAAAGAATTTCATATAAACAAAATAATTTTTTCAAATATAATACAGATAGTTAAAATGTATACAGATATCTATTGTTTCTAAGCAATGAAGTTAAATGACATAAAGCAACAAAGTACTGAGTGCCAGAGAAATAGTATTATGGTAGCATTTTTATTCATTATGAATATTTTTATGGAGCATATTAAGTAAAGCTGCTATCATTACTATTAATGAATTTTAATGTGGCTATTTTAGAAATGCAGGATAATCAATCTAATATATATACAGAATCTGACCAAAAAATGTATACGCACTTCAGCAGTTCACCATAACTAATAAATGTCTGGAAGCTCATGGCCACCACTTTGAGCACCTCTTGTAACTGTAGAGGCCAAAGGTAATGTGTATTAATCTCATGATGTCGCAATGAATTTAGTATTAATGTATTTATATCAGTTTTTCTTTTCCTGAAGTATACATTTTTTGGAGGGCTCTATAGATGAAAGTTTCCACATGTTTTCAAACACTGAGAAATTTAATTTCATCAATTTATAAGTTAAATGATATTTTTGTTATTTCCAGGACTTAACAAAACAAATTCGCCTTAAAAACAAAATTAAGCAATTTGCTCTTAGTTTAATATCAAAAGTAAATCTAAATGCTATAAAATTTTCATGCCTGCTAATAATGAAACTGGGTTAACTCCTGCACTATCGTAGGTATGCTGTCTTTTTTCTGAGAACAGTTCATTTTGGTCACAAAATTTTTGAGTCACAAGGCACAAGTCTTGTTGGCTTTTTTTTAATATTACTATTTCTCAACAATCACCTTTTAGTTTTCCTCCAAAGTATTTTGTCCCAAATGGATAGTGCCAGGGCCAGGGATTTGGCTCAGTGGTTCCACTGCGTGTCTCATAAGCGCAAGGTCCCGAGTTCGATCCCCAGTACCAAATCAGTTATTTGGGCTCGGAATTTAGCTTAGTGGTTCCAGAGCCTGCCTCACAAGCACAAGGACCCGAGTTCTATCCCCAGTGCCAAAAAGCAAGCAAACAAACAAACCAAATGGATAGTGCTGATGTGGCCCTAGGTTGATTGCTCAATGACATTTTGAGGCACGCTATGTGAATTCACATTATATTTTAATTATACTGTTCACTTGAAAGTAAATCCCTCTTCAGCATTGCTGTAATATAGTGATGACTGCTTACTGGTGTCTGCTGCCTCTCGGTGCCCTGGGGATGCTTCACCTGCCGTCCTCGTATTTCAGTGAACCCACAGCCTCCGTACCACCCCAGTCAGATGTGTACCGCATGCTCCATGACAACCGCGATGAACCTGCTCAGCCTCGCCAGTCAGGCTCCTTCAGGGTGCTCCAGGAGCTAGTGAACGACGGTGAGCATTCACATCTGCTGTACTTGATTGAAAGAGGCCATTGGAAGGATGGAGGAAGGGGCTGCCACAAACATGCCAGGGATGAAAGTCTAAATATCATTTTTAATCAGTAAGCAAGGATGGTGCCTTGAGTAGGCAAAGAGCCTGCAGGGTATGTTCAAGCAGTCACAAAATGCAAACAGTCATTAAAAGGCAATGAGGATGAATTCCATCCATGGAAGTCCAGGGTATCTCTGCTCATGAATCGTAAGATCTGATCTTAGCTACATATCGTACACAGTCTTGTTCTCCTACACTTTAGGGTTCCATCAACATGAAAGTTAAAAAAAGCTTTTTAAAAAATACTATGATGAACCTGACTGTGTGCTGAATTCTGTGCCAAGTACTTCATGTGCCTTATCATTTAATTTTCACAATAGCACAGTGAAGTGAGAGCTGTTAACTGTCCCACTTAACACACGAGAAATTGATGTTCCAGGAAAATGGGCTTCTGCAAGCCACATAGACCCTAAGTAGCAGAGCTGGGCCTCTGGTGCACTCCTGCTATTTTTTGGGCTTAAACGCCTACCCATACTTTTCCACCCCTAAAAATATATATACAGCCCTTAAAAACAACAGAAAAATGCAAAATGTCCTATAAGGATGGGTATTAACAACCACAATAAACAAAAGATGAAACAAGTATGGACAAGGATGTGGAGAGTGAAGGGAACCTTTGTACATTGCTGATGGAAAGGAAAATGAATGGTACAGCCACTGTGCAGGACAAAATGCTAGTTCTTCAGTTACACGTAGAATTAACATACGAACCAGCAATTCCATTCCTAAGTATTTGCCAAAAGCAGGAACTCAAACAGATACCTGCACACTAATGTTCACGTTATTCTCAAGCATCAGAAAGGTGGAAAAAATTAAGTATCTGTTGACAAAATGTGATATATATGACTATTATTCAGCCTTAAAAGGAATGAAATTCTTATACATGCTGTACCACAGATGTACCTTGAAAACACCTATGTACATAAAAGAAATCAGACAAAACAGGACAAATATTATTTGGTGTATGTATGTGCAAAATCTATAATAGACAAATTCATAGTGACAGAAAGTGAAATAGAAGTCACCAGAGACAGTGAGGAGGTAGGAATGGAGAGATTTTACTTAATGGGTACAGAGTTCCTGTGTGGGGAGGATGAAACAGTTCTGGAAGTGGATCCTGCTACTGTGAATGTACTTAATGCCACAGAGTTGCACACTTAAAGGTGGTGAAAATAGTGAAGTTTAGCCAGTGTGGTGGCACACACGCACCTGTAACCCCAGCTACATGGAGGTTGAAGCAAGACGATCACAAGTTCGAAGCCAACCTAGGCAACACAGCAAGACCCTGTCTCAAAATAAAATTTTCAAAAGAGCACCTGGGGAAGCAGCTCAGTTACAGAGCATGTGCCTCACATGCACAAGGCCCTGGGTTCAATTCCCCATTCCACCAAAAAAGGAAAAAAAAAGTTATGTATATTTTTCCACAATAAGAATAAAAAATGAAAGATACCTCCTGCTGCTTTGAACATTTTACAACAGTTTCCTGCAACAGTAACAAAATATTTTAATCAGATCCATTTTGAAAACCACTGCTTCAGAATCAAGTCTCCACTGCTTCAGTTAGGCCTGTACCTTTGGAAATAACAGTGCAAACACAACTTCAGAATTCCTTAGGCTAAAGTGCACGCTTGAAAATAGAAACACAGTCAGACTGGAGTCAGCTGTGCCCTCACCATAAATGGAAACTCTCTGTTTTTCAGATGACCGCCCTGCTGGGACTCGCAGTGTGAGAGCCCCGGTCACCAAAGTCCATGGTGGAGCTGGAGGCGCTCAGAGGATGCCACTCTGTGACAAGTGTGGAAATGGCATCGTGTACGTCTCATTTTTAACCCACTATAAAGATTGGTGGGGGGTTTCCTTCTCTTCTGCTTTAAAACATATAGAAAAGGCAGTTATGAAAAAGTTAAGTTTCTATGCACAAACTTGAAACAGAATGTTCACAACATTTAGCACATATTTTTTATAAGTTAATCATTTATTTGAGATCTGGATCCAAATATCCAAAAGTGAAATAAGTTTCTCATTTCCATTTAGTTAGCCTATTCTGAGCAGCATTCCCTAGCTGTAAACCCACACTGGCACACAACGTGAATGAGCAATCTTGACTTCACTTCCAGATGTACTCTTGGGGTAAAGAGGCACTTGCCCCAAATGTGTATTTAAATATTTCCAGGAATCATGATTTCACTTTTTAAAGCATCCCCCAAGCCCTCCCTTTGTTAACGTACAATCTTCACACGCTTCCTTTTTTATATAAACCCAGGGGAACAAATAACAAGAGTCATCAAATTGTTCATTAAAACACATTTGTTACCCAATTTCTTAAATCACTCAAATGTTAAAATCATTTCTCAAAGTACAATCCACTTCCATTTCACTGGGCTTCCTGTCTAGCCTCGCTTGGTAGTTCTAATCTTCAAGTGAACCAGATAATTGTAATCTCTGGACAGCGTGTGGTCCGTGCGGCCACTTCTCCACCCCTTTCTTCTGTTCCTCCAGGCAGATCTGCCCAGTTATCTGGGATGCAGACCGCGAGGGCAGTGGAAGAGGAAACTGGGGGGAGCCAAGGGCAAACTGTGGGCCAGGAAGCCAAAAGCAGGACAGAGAGTTGGGGAGGAGAAAAGACCTCAAATGTACAACAGTTCATGATGTCTCCGAAAGCAACTAATTGTTCCAGAGTTGGAGTAAACTCTTCCCGCAATCCACCCAGTTCCTGGCAGTTCTTTCTCTGCTTCACGGAACCACCAAGAGCGAAACCTAGAGAAGGGCCTTGGATTGTGTGACCCACACCGAGATCAAAGTCAGAATCCTGTCTAGCCTACATCATGTCTTCCTCCTACTCTTTTTATATAAACCACTTGCTTGAGAATCTGAAAAACAGTCATACCTCAGCACCAGAGGAACGCGAGGTGGTTTCTTTGGCTGACTTCCATCCCCCTGACAATTCCACAGCCATGAGGCGTTTTACAGCTGGTGCCTGTTTATCTCCCACAGTGAAACGCCTGGCTTGGCTGCGGGGTTCTCTCCTGCTGTGTCAGGTTCATTGCTCTCGTTTCTCATTTGAGCTTATTTTTCCCGACAGGGGCGCCGTTGTGAAGGCGCGAGATAAGTACCGGCATCCAGAGTGCTTCGTGTGTGCCGACTGTAACCTCAACCTCAAGCAAAAGGGCTACTTCTTCGTGGAGGGGGAGCTGTACTGTGAAGTTCACGCGAGGGCCCGCACGAGGCCCCCAGAGGGCTACGACACAGTCACCCTGTATCCCAAAGCTTAGGTCCTTTGCAGGAGGGGGCACGCACGCACGCATGCACACACGTACATTTACACGAGAGAGATGTAAGAGGTTTTTGGGCTAGAAGATGGTGAACCGCAGGCTGCAACTCTACAGCCACGGCTTTTAGACATTCATTTATCTTGTTGTGTATTGAGAAAAAGAAATGCAAATGTCTGCCCTATGACAAAAACGTGTTTAACTGTGTTTTGCAATTCTTTTTATCTTTGGTAATAGCAGTAATGACATTAAAAGCAATACTTTTTGTATGTCATATGCCACGATTTACATTTCTAATATGGCCACTCAACGTGTAAACATCAAGATATTAGAGGAAGTTTAGTGTCCTTCCTTGACAGATTGATTTTTACAACTGTAGAAAAACTGTATCAAATACCAGTCGCATATTCTAACATACTCTGCAGTGGTCTGCATCTGTTTTAACTGTTATACTGCATGTGAGGGAGAAGTTCTCTCTAGGTTCTTATTCAAGCTACTGTATGCAAAAAAAATAAATATATAAAACATTTTTAAAATACCTAATGAAGTGGCAATCGAATTCAGTTAAAATCAACATTTCAGTGACAGGGTTCAGTCATACCTTGGCATGTACACAACACTGCCAACTCAGATAGCTTAAGAAATATGACTTCTTTAGTCTGTTTGTTTGCTTGGGGTGCTGGGATTTGAACTTATACTCTTCACACAGAGCTCCAACCCCAGCTCCCTTATTGATTGATTGATTGATTGATTGAGACAAAATTCCCCTGACTGAGCGGAGCTTGAATTTGAAAACTTCCTGCCTCAGCCTTCCAAAGCGCCAACATTAAAGGGGAGGGCCACCATCCCCAGCTTCTTTCGTTTTTATAATTCACTATTTCTTATGAGTCCAAATTTTTTGCAACTAGGAGGAGAATTTAAATTTGCTAATTGATGGCATTTCATTCTTTCCAACTAAAATTTTATTTTGGTTTGACATAGTCTCTTCCCATTGAAGTGCCTCTTTCAGATAAACATTCAGCCAAATTGAATGCTCTTTCTATCAGGCTATCTCTCCGTGCTCAATGATTTACTAGCGCAACCTGCTTCCCAAGATGACTACTTAGGGACCGTCTCAGGAAACAGAAGCTGCTGGTTTCCTAGGGTCCTTATATCCACTGCCGAAATCCATAGTTCTATTTGTGGTCTGTCTTCTGGGCATAGTTGGGGCCAGGCAGTAGCGCTCCCTCCACCACCCCAAAACGCTTAGCTCAGCCTTCCAAGCAGTGATGACTCCTCTGCACCCCATGAATGTGCTCGCTCCAACTTCTGGTGCAGACATTCTGCCAGGCAGCTCTGCTTGGAATTCGTTACCTTGCCCCTCAGCGAAGGTGGCCCCATGACAGTGTCCTTGACTTAGGTCACTCACCTTCTGTCCATGTTCCTCACCAGCGACACCTGTGAACTTCTGAAACTGTCCCTTCAAAGTTAAAACCCTGGAGAACCAGCAGTGGGTGGAGCCCTCTCTTCATCACTGTGTCACACAGGTATCCCTGCCCTGCTACATCTGCTGCCTTTTGGCTTGAGCAAGAGTCCTCTTCCCACTGGGACACCAGCGTCATTGCTCGGGGGTTCTTCCAAGCTTAGCTAATTGTTTCTGACTGACTTCTCAGAGTTTTGACCCAGCAAGAGGAACTAGAACACCTACCTGGTTCATTTAAGCATTTAAGATTGCAACCTTGCACAAAAACATAAATTTATTATAAGGGGTATTAAAAAATAAAATAAGCTCTTGAGATCAAAGAATATGAATGTATCCAAAATGGAATGCATTGTTATTCAACAGCAATTTTTTACACTTTTGTTCCAGGAAACTTAACGATTTGAAATCTAGGACTCAAAAGGTAACTGACTTAGAAAACCTAAGAAAGCTAAAACCCAAAGTAGCAAAGGAGAAAACTGGTCCACTTCACTCTGCAGAATCTTTAAAAATTATGAGAATTATGAGAGTAGAAGCTATTTAAGAACCACTTAGACCTAGAGGCTTCCCTCGCTCTTGCTGCACATCACACACACACACACACACACACACACACACACACACACACACCTTTCCCAGTGCGTTTGTGTTACCTGGAAATGGGGAGACAGCATCCTTCAACCAGAAAATGGAAGCACAGTGACTGAACATGCAAACAGCCTGAAAAAGATGAATTAAGAGTAAATGACTCATAAGAAAGTTATATAGTAGACATTATATTGTACACAAATGTACAATTTGTGTTAGACATTAGGTGGTATATTTCTTAAAATTATATTTCACATTCAGCAGAGGAGTACATAATTAACTCTTCAAGCCCAGGTTTAAATTAAAAAATGAAATAGTTCTAGTCTCAAATGTAGATATCTTAGGCTATGGGACTAGGGCTTGTGAAGCATGCCCCCCTTTTGACAATTCAATATAAAAATTTAAACATGTAGAAGAATTAACTGTGGGGCTAGTAAATAGCTATGAATGCTAAATAAAAGTTGTTTTAAAGTAAAAAAGCAATGCTGAACTAGAAAGGAGTTAAAAAACTTTTTTTAAAAAAATCAATAATTTCCCCCTACACAGCATTTTAGCCTTCAATAATGAATTCACATAAGGAACTGAAATTCTAGAAAAGAATTCATACCATGAAGAAAGAATGCCAACTAGTTTTGATCTAGCTCAGAGAATAACATTTTCTCAGCAAACAGTCTTAATCACTGTGTGCACAGCCATAAGCTTTTGAAAGCTAACAATAATCAATGGAACTAGCCATGATTACGAACTGAGCTTCTGTGAACTTTGGATCCAGGATTAATTAAGCTATTTATTCATGTACACATAAGAAGGAAGCTGCTACACTCTACCATGAGGGTGAGTGATTGAATGAGAAGAATTCTGGTTATCACATATTTTTGCACCTGTGTAAGCAGTCAAATAAGCTTACTCTTCCCTGCATAAGATACACTGTCCCAATTTCCCAACATGGGAACATTCCAAGATAGGCAGAACAGAGCTTTGGGTCTCTCTATCAGTAACTATTTAAAAACATTTGTCAAGTTGTCTTTGAACAGATCTGATTTCAATCCTAATAAAAACTGCAACTTGCAAATATTACTCTTTATTATCATGCCATAACCTAATGCCTTTTTATGTATGATGTGTCATTGTACATCAGGGATAAGGAAGAAGACTGAAAGAAGAATGAGGGCATTCATGTAATTCAAGTAAACAAACTGTCTGACCTATATGACACTATCACAATAATGCACTCAGGTCTCCATTCATTGGAGAGAACATTTAATATTTACTGAGCACCCACCAAGTCAGAAAAGTTGAAGTATATATATATATAAAATCGTAAGAGTCTTTTTAACAATATATATAACAAAGACTTTTGTCTGATTTTACAAATTAACTTTTTAAAGCTGGTTAGAATGCTTTATTAATTGATTTGAAAACAAAGTACCTATAAGATTTGATCACTTAATTATAATTTCTTTCAGACATTTTAGGAACATCATTAATTCAACTGACTGACCATAAAGTACAAAGTCAGAGATATTAACATTAGTTTTTTAAACACCTGAGGATTTTGTGTATGTATACAGAGAATGTCCCAAAACGTAGTTTCTTTCTTCTTGGACTAATGCATTTATGAAAAACAAAGCATAATTCCATGACCATTATTTAAAGAGTAGTTTTTAATGCCTAATTTCTATCTCCATCATTAGTATGGTGTACAAATAGATTATAAACTAGGATTACATAGAAAGCAAAATGGTTGTCTGAAGATGAAAGTTATTCCATTTGTTTGTTTTTATTCCTCTAGTGAGGAAGTAACAGCAGTTGATCTACTTCTGTGCCAATAGCAAAGTTATGTTTTAAATTCAAAAACTACCCCAAATTCCTCCTCTACCTTGTATTGTGAAGTATACAAGTTAGGGAGCACAAGTGTGTAGATGTTGACTATTATATTTATTTGTGCCAAGGTGTGTACATACCTGCGTTTCTTTAAAGCATGCAGGACGCACGGCCAACATCATATGCACAATTAATAACACCACTCCCTTTGGTGCTGCAGTCAACCTCTTCCTGCATCTTGGACTCCAGTTGCTGGAAGTTCCTAAAGCTCCCAAATTACACCCTTGTCACTGCTTCGTGCTGCAAACCATCCATCCTCCCCTCCTGATTTCTTGTCCTTAATCCCAATTTATCTGATTAATGCTTGCTTTGTTGGCTAATCTAACAGATTAATTCATGCTAGCAGGTACTAATAATTCTCTACTGCTCTCATTTATGTAAGGTATTTGTGATTGTTTTAAGGAAGTCCTGAGAGGAATGTCTTCAGTTGTATGAATTTTAGAAACCTTGGTTGTATGTCTTATTTCTTTCATTTGGCTTACTATTTTCATGATTCACTCATGTTGCAGCAGTAACAGAATTTCATTGCATTTTAAAGCTGAGAAGTATCCCATCGTGTGGACACCCCATGTTTTGTTTACCCAGTCATGTTTCAGTTGATCCACAAGGTGTTCCCACTGTCTAGCTGTGGTGAATAATCCTGCCATAAACATTGATGTGCTCATGGTAGTCATTTTCTTTTAGCTTCTTTGCTTTCAAAGATTATAATACTGATGGCTACTAAAGTATCACTGATAGTTATAAAGAAATATAAATATAAAGGCAAAGAATGGTAATAACAAGCACCATAGGGTATAACCTTGTAGCTACAATTTGTTGGCTATACAAATATTTTAATGAAGTATACATATTATTAATTTAATTCTGACATAAATCCTGACATCATATATTAGTAACATTCATACCTTACTTCTAGTCCTTACAACAGCCTTGCCAAATATTTTACAAATGAGGAAAAATCTCAGCTTAATCTCTGTACAGGACCAAACAACTAGAGGAAAAAAATGGCAGTTAATCTCACTAATATTCTCTACTAAAAAGTAATATAGTGTGGAAATGTTTAAACCTATAAATTATAAACATCATTAAAAGTCCCTCTTCTCTATTACGTTGTTTCATTTATATTGCTACTAACGTAAAGCAAAAATGATTTCTTCCATGAGTGCTGGCAAAAGTCAAACAATAAAAACGCTAAGCAGTGATGTCATTAAGTAATGATGTCATTATGACTGTTGTGGACAGCGGTCTGGATAGGACTTGGATGAGCCATACCACTCTTTCTCATCTGCAGAATGAGAGAGACAGACTGGGTGATAGCAAAGACCTCTATCAGCTCAAACATTCAGTGATCTGCACTTGCGATGTCAAAGGAGTATCAACTTGGCTGGCAGTTCCATTTTGTGAGGGTGAGCAATGAGAGTGGCCAAGTTTGGGATTCAGTTTAGAACCTTCTGTTCCATAATCACAAGTGCCACCTCTGACTCATGCTATGGCTCATAACAGAAGTCAAGCAGGGAACATGGATTTGTTATTTTAAATGCATTAGTTCCATTGGT